AGGGCTTTCGATCTATCTTAGAAACATCTTAGTAGAAAATCGCTCCCTGTCGCCTAAATCTCGGCCAAAGTTAAAAATCAAATTTTTCAAGCGGAAATTTCTGGAGGTCATGTGATATTTCCGTAAATCGACGCCTAATTAAATTTCCTGATGCAGACGTTCAGCTTCTTTTGGAATAGTGGCACACTTCAAAAGATATGTGCGGCACTTTAATTACAATTTTTTTGGGATATGGAATATTTAATCTTGCAGTAACCCTTGGAGCATGATTTTTGGATAAATTTGAATGTGTTGTGAATTACTGGGTAACATGTGTGTTTTGGAATTGATCTGAGTTGCAGTTGGGATTGCACTGTGTCAATATATAAAGAGAAATGGAAAAACTATGAGTGATATTTTAAATTGTAATAATCAATTGATAAAGGTGTGGTACTTCTTTTTCTGTTGGATAAGATATTTTGTAGGTCATAAAATTGGAATTAGAAAATGAAATTATGAAATGCAAATGAAAAATTTAGTTACATTTGCATCTCTCTTCCCTGTAGCTGAAAAACTTAAGTATGCAAGCTCTGTATCACACTTTTTAACTCAAGTTCATGATGATCCACAACTATAGAAATTGCTACAAATGATATCCTCAACAAATCTTACAAATAAAAGTCATTATCTTGCTTTTGATGAAGCACTTAAACATATGGTGTAAACTTCATCAAGCAAAATATTAGTGGAAATCTTATTGACCAACCAACCTTGATGATGAAGATTAAAGTAGCTCAAAGTGAGAAAAATCGTTTATCAATACTTTTTGCTAAATATACTGATGATATTACAACAAGTCAGAGCATTCGTGCGATCAAATTACGTAAAGATTCACTTTGGTCTTTGGTTACAAAATTATTGAATACTTTTAACTATCTAGATTCCAATATATATTCTTTATTTAAAGGTGTACCAGAACTTAATGAAGAGGGTATTTCAAAAATTTTTTCTTTATATGAAATTGGCAAAATACACTTTCAAAAAATACTTGCTCAAGATGTGTATAAAACTGAGTCACGAATAACTTCGAGACGTCATGTATGTAATATAAATGCTTATACCTATGTACAACTTTTGGAAAGAGAGAAAAAAGCAAATAAGCAAGTAAATAACCCTACTCAAGTATCTACTACTTAACAAAATATTTCATTAGCATCATTGCCTCTTGAAATCAATCACCAAAAAAAAACACACCACTATGGAAGTAGAAAAAACAATATTTAAACAATTATTTGAATTCGAATAATTGCCTGAAGTCATAGTTTCAAAAGTATTGTCACAACTTCAAGCTATTTCTTCGGACTGAACAGCTGAAAAAATTAAGACCTACTGGAGAAATAATCAACATAGATAAAGTAAAACATAATTATATAGTTAATACATAGTAAAATTATAGAATAAAAAAGATTTTATACCTTCCATAACAAAAATTCTATTAATTATATAGCTTCTTATTAAAATTTTAAATGTAATATATTCTTGTTTATAAATATCATAAAAATTTTTTTAATTAAAATTTTTATTTCTATCTGCTTAAAAAATGATTCTAAGAAACTATGAAAAAATATATATAAGGTATATTTGTGCTAATAAGATATTTTGATTCAACCGTTGGACTCTAACCTTTGAAGGATAATTTTAAATTAAATTTAGAGATTTCAATAGAAGATCTTGAAATTTATATTTAAAAATTGTCATTTTCAATTCTGTTTTTCTTAGTGTAAAGTTAGCAATAGGTGTATTTTTTGGTATAGAATGAAAGCTTGAAACTTGTAAATCAAGTTTTGTTTAAGGTTGGAAGTGTCATTTATTATTATAAATTAAAGTATTTTTACAATGATGATCTACATTTAACGTTACACAAGACCGGTCTACTAACAAAAATCACTAGCGGGGAAATGTCACGGGACTGATAATTATTTAATACAATTATAGGTGATGATTCCTATCTCGGTTGAACTTTGAAATGAATATTTTAAATTAGGATTGTCATATGTAACTCACCGTGAAATAATTTCATTAGATTCAATAAAAGAAGAGAAAGAAGAGGTCGAACCTAATAATATGATTCGATGATAGAAGAGAATAATAGTTATTCTCAATCAGATAATGAATTCTTCCAATAATTATTGTTGAAGAAGTAATAAGTAATAATGAAGATTACAATAATACGATGATGATTATATGACGAAATGCAGTAATAACGATATCAAAAATTATTTAATAACTGTCTAGCTTTCTTGTGGGGAATATTTAATTGACTTGATACATAATTAATAATAATAAACATAATTATTTTATTTTTTATGATATATTTATTTTTATTTTATCAGTAATAGAAAATACCATTTCTAAAACCTTGAAGATGAGTACCATCAGTGGCCCGATCATTCATGTGTTCCATAAGAATAGTACTTCTTCACCTCTCCAATCTTTAAGAATTGTCACATTTTTGTGGAACAATTGAGTAGACTAGAATAAAAATAATTTTATATAATTTATGTAAAAAAAAAATTTTTATTTGGATCTAATAAATATTATCCCCAATTTTTATTAACGAAATTGTCTTATACGAATCATGAATTAAATTAAAACAAACAAAATTATATATACAATTTATTAATACTGTATATTTATAAATTATAATTCAAATGAAATATGTATTAATAAATTAAAAGTTGATTAGATATATTAGATACACATAATAATGTAAAGTAATTAGAATTAGTTCACTTATTAGTTAATTTATTCGTATAATTTTTTATAACTATTATATTACATATTTTGCTTGTGCTTACTATATTTACAGTCATTCAATATAATGTGTAGGTCTATTGGACAAACACAAATAAGTGGCCTAAATATGAATAAATATAAATTAATATAAATAATATTAATAATAAAACTTTTTATTAAACGGGAGAATAAATATTATACCGAAATTTGTCTATTTTCATTCGTGGTCTCAAAATAAAGAAAAAGCAGTTATAGAAATCACTTGATGCAAAGTACTGGCCTTGGATAATTTCGTTTCAAACAGTAATGATGTAATTCGATAATTTCATAAATCTTTTAAATAATAACAATAATATAATAGTAAATAAATTAGTGTATAATTATAATAACGATGATAACTTTAAAGTCATATTATTACCACCTAATCCCACATCACATCCTTTGTATTAACTATTTTATTGACTGTAAGGCTTAAGTTGCTTTCGACCAGCGATGTCAAGATCATATAATAATTGCCAATCTTTCTAATGTGAAGCTTTTGTGTGGATCTTGAAAAGGTATGTCGGGGTCAATTTCGGAATATTTTAATTTTGGAAGTATAGTCCCAACCATCGATATTCTGGAAAAAAAAAATGTGGTCATTAGGAATATTTATCCGAGTCAGAAATAAATTAACGATATTAACCTTAGAAAAAACCCTCTGAAAACTTAAGTTATCTGCCTTCCACGATACTAATAAATTTCTCAAAAATCTGTACGAAAGAATAGTTATTTCACAATTTGATTCATTGAAATGCAAAGTAACAACCAAATATTCATACCTTAATTGCACATCCGGAACTTTCACCAAAAATAAAATTATATATTATTATATTTCTGGTTACAGGAACCTACTAGTGGAATTATTTCAAATTATAAAACTTGTTAGATGAATATATTTAATGAATCCCTAAATGGATAACAATCTTTTTATATACTTATCTTAATAATAATGTTCGACAAGTAAATAGACAGGAAGCTGGTGACTACCAAGAAATGACTTGGATATCCACTGACTCATAACTCACCGCCAATGCCTGGACAGACATGTCCAAAGACACATGGGAAGTTCTCACCGCCAATGCCTGGCAAAGTAAGTAGATCAACTATTACCGCCAATGCTTGGACAGCAACTCATAACTTCACCATCAATGACTGGACAGACATGAAGTATGGCGTCTCCGTGTATCCAAAGATACAAGTGAAGTTCTCGCCGCCAATGACTGGACAGTCGCGATAAAACGCGTTTGTTTTTTTTCGAGAACGTCCCATATTAATCATAATGTTTTGTTATGTTATACTGACTTAATGCAATACATCACAACGCGGGAGATAATGTAAGAAATTGTATTAATTGTTTGTTTATTTGCTTGATTCTTTATTTGACATTATATTTCTTTTTTACTTTATTATTATATTTATTATTTATATCTAATATTGGAATTCTAATTCTTGAAATTCTAATAATAATAATAATAATAAATAGGTTTGAAACCTCTGGTAATTGATACCTTTTATAATAATCATAATAATAAAAAAGTAGTAAAAATTAATTTGTAAAAATTGGTTAAATTTTTCATTTTTGTAAATATATTACAAAGTTATAATAATATGCATAATAAAATTTAATCAATTCAATTTATTGACTCTGAAAGAAAAATCTAGAAGAAAAAATAATTAAGACGTAATTACGAAAATAATTAAATAAAGATCAATGTTATTAACCTATTTCAGTGAAAAGCGAAACGGTCCAACCATACGTAAATTTAAAACCAACAGACAAGCACATCAAATGACAAATAGAAATTCTTTGCTAGAACAATTCGCACTCAAAGATAAACTACAAAGGGCCCACTTTTTCAAACAATTTTAGATTTATTGATTATACTTAATTCATTTTTTAAATCACTTTTAATCATGAAAATTGAAAATTAAAAAATGGAAGAAATGAAACATTACGAGAAGGTAAAACAGAATAGATAAAGTTATTAAGAGAGGTTCATTATAAATCACAGAATTTATCTTTTCGAATTCTTAAATGAGACAATATTCATTTATTAGATGTATTAAATTTACCTCCTCCTATAAATGTTTTTAGTTTAAAAAATTATATTGAATTCTTTACCTTTCTTTACTTTAGAAAATCAAAAATTTAAACGATCGAGGAAGATCACAATTTTTTATCCAAATGATTGGCAAATATATTTATCTAACAGTATACACAGTGCAGTATATGTCTTTAATTCATATTTAAGAAATGTCGTAAATGACACAGGTACAGCTGCCTCTATATTCTCACAACGAATTTCGATTACTTTTATTATGAATACAAAAGGCACGCAAATTAGGTTGGACGTGACAACAAATAGCTACCATGTCTTTGTTTTACATAAGAAATTATAAATAATTCAATCACAACATTTTCATTGTAAATGACACCATCACAGAAAGATTTCATCCATATCTTCTTCTGTCGCAAGTGAAATGTCATCATCCGGTAGATGTAACCATTCTCTTAAATTTTTCGAACAATTTTCAGTTGAAATAAAGGAACGGATTTTCCTTTGTAATTTTTCTTGTTCCACAAATTCATTTCGAATAACTGCGAAAAAATTAAAAATCTTCATATAACATGTGATGGCATCAAACGCAAATGAAATTATACAAGAGGCCAATTCAACAGCCAAATACTTTCTTTTGTCTGCTAGAGAAACAGCAAACAATATAAGTCGATCTACTATAACCTGAATGCTATAAGTTTTAACATTTTTGGCATCCTCAATGTTGCAATCAAGGTTGTTGCTAAGGAGTCGACATAAACTGCAGATAGTCATCACTAATAGTTTTTTTTACGTCACCAACCGTATGCTTTTTTGTGGATCTATACGGAGGTCCAGAAACTTCAACATTCAAAAGTTCTCTTGCGTCGGATAACCTGAGAATGAATCTGTTTTCGTTCTCCAATATTACCCATAAACATAGTGTTTGCTTCTTTGATTGATCTCACATCCTTCTCTACCCACATATATTTTACATCAGGAAACGCTTTGTGAAATGCGAGGATAATTGGTGACAGAACTTCAATGATATAAGATCGTTCAAGCATATCTCGGTCTAGCACTTTTGGCATCAATAACTTAAACTTTGAGACAAAATCTAGTAATTCATATCGTATGAAGAAGCACAAATTATATGTGCAGAATATTCATCATATGTTGCTTTCGTAATAATGGGTTTATTAGGTGTCGCTATTAAAGTACGTGTGACTAAGTTAATAGCAGAAATTGTGGTTCGTTGATGTTGGATAGCTTTTTTCTGTTGAATTTCAGCGTTGTTAGATGCAATCTTTCACCGCTGAATGGCTTTTTTTTTGCGAGCTCAAGCCAGTGTTGTTTTTCGGGTCCCCTCCATTTTGAAAGTAACGTGGAGGCGTATTTAGAGACACTGTTTGGCCAATCCGAAACCTGATTTGATAACGAACTCAAGCTCCGACAACAGACTGTGAAACAATCATTTTCTGATGACCCTGGATTGTTCTCCAGTAACTTGCAGACATAAGAATCTATGTTGTCACTCTTTCATTGGTCTTGAAGTGACATAGACATCATGCAGACGATCCTTTGGTGCCAAGAAATCCTTTTCGCCATAACGTTGCAATTAACAATGTTCCAATGTCAAGAGTTAGTGGAAGTTTGATTTTATCAGTTATTGATTGATGATCTTGTCGATCATAGCATGATTTTATTGGTTGATGATCTGATCTTTCAAATTTCACTGCTCAACCTTCTATATAGCCCTTTTGTCGAGGGACACCGTAACTTTTGTATCTTGAAGGCTTTTGCTTGCTTGGTAACCTCCACTCTTGAAGTGGTTGTGGTTGCGATGTCTTTCACACTTTCCCTACGCCAACAGATCCGGTACAGACCCGCTCCAAGGCTTATGGACTTGCGACTCTGGGAGGTGTATCGATGAAAGGAAATTGACGAGGGACACCGTAACTTTTGCATCTTGAGGGCTTTTGCTTGCTTGATGACCTCCACTCTTGAAGTGGTTGTGGTTGCGATGTCTTTCACACTTTCCCTATGCCAACAGACCCGGTGTAGACCCGTTCCAAGGCTTATGGACTTGCGACTCCGGGAGGTATATCGTCATTTGTCTGCTGTAGCTAACAAAAAACAGAAGTCTATTCACACACACATGCCATTCCACGAAAATTAAAAAATAAATGTCTGATGTTGGTAACAAACACTTTATTATTTATTCACATGAACGTTCTGATATAAATAATAAGAGTTATCAAGAGAAATATATGATGTTATCAAAGAGGGAGGGAGTACGCGGATCCTAGGCGAGTCCCGCATCAAATTATTTCTTTGCTCTCACGCCTCCGAAAAATATCTATAACTAATTTGTTTCTATTGCTAACTACGTAACTATCTCACCCCACACTCTTTTACTACACTAGATTTCCGAAATAAATTATCCCGCCCATATCTACAGAATTTTTGTCTATCTATATCTTTCACACCCACACAGACAATATAAAATAATATTCTCCGCAATAAAACCTCTCCTAGATTAAGTAAATCCAGTGGAAGATGATGAATGAGCAGAGGCAGATGATGCTTCACTTTGTTGATCGGATTCTCTTCTACCCATGCTTTGGATGAGGGAATATCGTTGATTGATTTCGTTCTGAAAATATGCGATGGTTCTGCTAATCGATTCAAATTCTGAAGTAGTTCGGCCAAAATTATTATGATAGGTTTCCAGAATTCTCTCGATTTCGTTACATCTCCTGGTTAGAACATTAATCATTGAAAAAATATTTTGTGCTTCTGTTGCATAATTTGCATTACGGGAATTTATTTTTGCAGTAAGAACGTTATTAATTTCGGTTCTGATCCTGCCGATTTGTTCAACAATGGCAGTATTGATCTTGGTATCACGAGAGTTTGTTTCATCGACAATTTTAATTTTACTAAGATAAATGGCTTTTAATCTTTAAGTAATTTGTATAATAAAATTTTTCATGAATTGATATTTAGTCACACTACCTGTCCCCCATTAAGTAATAAGGCAGGCTTTATTTTTTAAAAAATTGCATTATCTGTGCAACGAATCAGATCAGTTTCTTCTTTCATCGAAATGAAAGATGGTCTATATCCTTTTCAGACAATTAACTTGGACAAACGACTCTTGATCTATTTTTCACTCGCTCGCTCTTCGCAAATACAAGTATGATCACACAAGCAAATTCCGCTCTCCTTGCCTTTTACCATGTTATAGCGATCAAAGATTGGACGCATGTTTACATAGCAGAGTATTACCGAGCGAAATTAGAAAACAAGGAATATAGGAATGTAATGGATTGTATAAAAAAGATCTTATAAAGGTGACAAAAAATTCTGAACTTGATAAAACTCGTCGGGAAAAGGCTGAAACGATTCTTAACAATTGGGAAGTACGTTCATTATTCAAACAAAAATTGTATATTAAGAGCTTAATCCATCAGTAATGAACTCTTGGTTCGACGCTTAGCGCAAGCCGTCTATATTAGTTTGATTAGATACTGTGAAATGTTTCTTGCAAGCAGCCAAGTATTAATTTCTATTATATTTTTCTAAGAATTGGACAAGCTTAAGAGAAAATTCAAAGATCACAATGGTATATCTGTGAATATTGGAAATCTACAGGTTGGTTTCTAAATCTGAGACTACTGTATATTAAAAATATTTACATTTTTTATCAAATTAGGTGGAACAATTTGCAACCGGAAATCCTCAGGTCATTAACAACCACATAAAACATTGTCGAGATGTGAGCAATGGAAGAGAAGTTACGACACCATCAAAAAAAAGTTTGTATGAGATTATAAAGTTCTTCCTAAATTTGTTATATATACAAAACTAAACCTTTTGGATTATAGATCAAAACTACTGTCGAAAGATGAATTCCAGAATGACAAATACAGAACGAAACGTAGACGAACCATCGGATTCAGTTGAGGGAGTTTCTCTTTATAGTAGCAGGGATAATTCTTTTGGCAATCACAACGAAGAACCAACTGATGATCAACTGAAGCATCGCCAGTAATGTTTTTTTCGTTTTGTTTGTTGCATTATGTGTATAAGTTCATTTCTAATCTGCATTGCTCTTTAAAGTTGAATGACTGCTATGAATCTGATGCAGGGATTGCACGTGAGGTGACAATAATCCTTTTCTAGTACAGACAGGTGAAGATTTAACGAAATATAAGATTAGTGTTAATTGATAATAACATGATCTCTCAAAAATAATTGTCATAACTTTGACATTGATTGATTTGGTCCATATTAGAGTCACGCGATTGATAATGTTGCTATAAGTAATGTCTCTGAAAATGACGTAAGCATCGAGGAATATTGTTTTGTAGTATTTTTATCCTGATATATTCTAATTCCGTTCTCTTTTATATAGTGGTTAACACAGGATGGATACAACATCTCTTTCATAAGTTTCAAGCAGAATCAATCAAAAAATTGGAAATTAATCCAACTTTATAATATACGAAAGAAATTGATATGATATTGTAAATATTTCTATGTAAGGTTACAGAATTTTGGCTATAATATTTAACTTTGTATATACTTTAGGTGTCTATCATCGATTATGTATTGCAATAAACTTAACCAGAATATGTTGAATGTTCCAAAAAGACAAGATCACTAATCCTGAAAGAGTTGTCAACAGTTGCTGACTTAGTAATAATAAAATACAGCAGGGTAAATATCTTCCTTGATATTATTATAAGCAACAGCAAACACATTAATTTGTTTATTTGTGTTTTAGCTTTTGAATGACAAACAATCACTAAATACAAGGTGATGTAACAATTGGGTAAAAGGGAATAGATTATTAACAGATGAAGACAAAGACATCTTTGATTGTGTGCTGTTAGTTTCGAGAAATTTGTAAGTTCTAAATTTAATAAAATTTTTTGTTTTTTGCCTTGCAGTTTACCTATTTATCTTCAGTGAGTTATGATAAGAATAAAAAATTGGACGAAGATATATTCATCCATTGATACTGTTATCAAATACTAGAAGAAGTATTCAATAAAACTGAACTCTGGTTAGTTTGGTAAGTTTCTGCAATCATTGCATTATAAATGCTTACATTTTCATTACTGAAATAAAGGGCTAATGGTAAATTTGAAAGTTCCAAAGAGAGAAATTTATTGGATAGTCAGAAAGCCAGACTTTTGGGTTCTCTTAAAGATTGATGATGATGACACTGAGAGGGAGTTCATATTTGGTGAGATAAAACCACCACATTGTTCTAACACCATAAATAAAAGTATAATTAAATTAACAGAATTCATGAAAGGGTCTTTAGATTTTATTATTCATATTTACAGCTATGTGGTTGGATTGGAAACGTATGGTATATTAATTTATGGTAAGTATCTCAGTGGTATACTACTATCTCTATTATAACTTTTTTGATGTTTGTTTGCCAAGCTAATAGAATTAAAACCAATAGGATGTGAATTTAAATTTTTTAGTATCAATTTGGCATATAATAGTCTATACCATTATAATCTATTATCAAAAGTACTGTTCCCAATGGAAAGTGTGAATTTTTTAAACATTATCACTGTAATATCTACCATATATTCATTATTGGTAAGAACCTTATTTCATAATCTTCAAACAAGATGCTTTGCAGTTTAATCTCATTTTTTTTTATTTATTAGAAAAGGATAAGATTTACTATTAATATTATAAATTCATCTCAATTAATGAACCACTCATTTTGTCAAATTCAAATTTATCACCTAAAAAAATATATGTTCCAATAATTAGAGTTTAGTTAAGTGATATATAAAAACTCATGTTTGTTAAACAGCAATGTGATTGTCTACCAAAGGCAAACCTTAAAAACCTATACAATTAGATTTATTAAAACAAAGAATCATTGATCTTGAGACTGATAATGTGAGGCTGAAACAGATTATTGAGCAGAATGCAAAGTGTAATGTTAGAGTTGAGGGCTAGAACAAAAGAATACAGAGTTTGAGACTAGACTTGTGATATTGGAACAGGGTTCCTTGGTAGTGGACAAACAACTACAGAATTATAAAAAATACCAGAGATGTAGTTATCTATAAATAAACTCATATTAGCAGTTACATAAGGAAATTTTTGGAAACAAATATATCTGAATTATACTTGCATATAAAATTATTTTGAAGCCTGAAAATTGCAATTTTAAAGAAAAAAGTCAAAATAGTTTTTCATTAAAGACAAAATTATTTTACTTAAAACTCAAAATTTTTTGACCATTCAGATACATTCCTTGATTAAAGATGCATTTAACTAGGTATTTTTTTATTTCCATATATAGAACAGATTCTAAGTAAATCTCAAAAAGATGAAATATTCCAAAAATCAGAAATCAATTTTGAGAATATGTATAATTCAGATATATTTGACCACTCACTTTTATCTACATAAATCACATTAATCCCATATTTATCTGCATTAATTTATATATTACAATAAATATATCTGTATATTTTTGCAAATATATTTGCATATATTCAGTTTTTATTAATTGCAAATATATCTGTATATATTTGCAAGTGAAAATTTCCTGATGAATTACACCTGACTCTCAAGTAGTTTAGTTTGAGAATTGTAAGCCTAATTGCAAAATAAATAATGCAGTATCTATCAATTCCAAGTTATTGGAAGATAAGAAGATGTATAATTTTGTAAATTCAAAATATAAGGAAACAGTTAGTAAAAAATAATTTAAAAAATTAAGAAGCAACTTCAAGATCAAGACCTATCTTCAGACATTTCTTCATCAGGAAAGGTGATACCTGAGGTATCAGTTTTGTCAACTTCAATATCCAGAAACACTGAACTCAGAAAGTCTGAAATTTCAACTAGAACCTCAACAAAAATAGTCAAAGGAAGAAAGGTGCATAAAATATTATACAATTGATAGCTGACAGTATTCATAATGATGTTCAATCAAAAACCACTCCTTGTGATAAAATTTCAACTAGGGTCCTTTGCCAAAATTCATCTACAGTTCTATTGCTTTCTTTAGCTCAATTATTTGATAAAAATAACTAATGCTAAATATGGAGCAATTTTTGCTAATCAGGAAGAGATTTTACATTGATATTATTATAGTGAAGGATTCTTAATTCAGGTTAGATAATTGTAAAAGATAGTAAAGGTAAAATCAATAAAAAAAAAGGCAAAGGGAATTATCTATAATTGTGTATTGAGTATCTTTCCATTTTCCATAAAAAGATATCTGAAGACAAAGGTTTATAGCTTCCAGAAATTTTACATAAATTCTTGCAAGGAAAAATCTTGAAAGTTATAAAAATATATAAATTATTTGAAAAATTAGATATAGATAAAATTAGGTATATCACAACTTATAATTTTAAAGTTAACTAATGATAAAATTCAAGAAATTATAGATATTTTTATAGAGCAAGTTCCAAAAGAATTGTACCATATGATGAAAAAAGATAATTCTTCAACTCCTGAAATTTCAGCTAGAGCTTCTGTTAAAATTCTATTACTAATTTTTCTAGCTCAGAAATCAGTCAAACTAATATATTGGAAACATAAGTGAATTTATTAATTTCAGCTGAGGTAAGTATATCTACTGAATTGATTCCTTTAGATTTATCCCAAGAAAATAATCAAGATAAGTTAAAAACTTGGAGCTCTGCTTTCTCAAAATTACTGAAGTTGAAATAATTACATATACTGAAACTGAGGATAATTCAGAAAAAATTAGTTATACTAATTTTTCTCAAAATAACAAGATAGAAGATATAGATTTTACTTGCTCTAATAACAAGGCTGATGCAAGATATTATTATAATCTAAATAGTGAAAAAAACCAACAAAAATCATATATAGGATATTTTGCATAATTTATCAGCAGTAGTGATAGAGGCTAAATTCCATAGTTTAGAAAAAAAACTGAAACTGAAACTGTCTTAAAAAGGATTTAGCCTTTTATATAATTTGTTCAAATTCTAAAATTTCTAAATCTTGTTCAAATCTCCTAAACTATCCTAAACCTCTAAAACTATCCTAAACTTTTTAAACTATTCTAAATCTCCTGTACAGATATAACTTATAAGAATTAAAAATAATTCATCATCATTTTTATATATATAACTTTTTATTTTAATAAGATAATATCAAAAATGCTACTAAATAATCTTAAAAATAAGAACAAAATTCACCTTTTGTAAGAAGAATAGATTTATATATATTATTAAAATTGAGAGAACTGTAAGTAGATAAAGTTGAAATGGACAAAACATTTAAAAACAATGTATCAGGAAATGTTAACCAACATTGGTTAATAGCATATTGGTTAATGTTGACCAATGTTTATGTTGCTAACCAATGGAATGTTGGCCAACATTTTTTATTAATAAATTTTTTTGCAAATGATAATAAATGATATGTTAACCAATGCTAGTTAATGCAAACAATTATCAACAATGACATTAACCAATGTTAGCTAATGCAAATGATTATTAATGATAATAATATTATTATTATTATTAATTGTTTATATTAACTAGCATTGGTTAACATACTGTTTATTATCATTACCATAAAATTTATTAATAAAAAACATTGGCCAACATTCCATTAGTTAGTGACATAAATGTTGGTCAATATTAATCAACATACTGTTAACCAATGTTGATTAACATTTAAAAAAATTTACTGAGTGGTACTACATGTTATGAGAGTGGAGGCAAGTACAAGAAAAGTGCTTGGATTTAGCCTGGTAGTTATTAGGAATTTTTGAAGCATAAAATATATAGATACTAACTAAAAGAACTAATCTATTCTATAGGAACAAAGAAATCTAAGTTTAGAGCAATTAAAAACAAAAAAGGATAAGTATGAAAAAAGAATAAAAGATAGGATAATAAAAGGAGAAAGATAGTAACAGATTTTAGGTCAAGAAAATAAGTGGATTAGAATAAGATAGTTTCACTAGGAACTTAGATAGAAAAATAGATATAGATTTGAGTAAAGAAAGTGTAGTTCAAGCTAAGTCACATGATTAAATAAATAAAAAACAAAGATCAATAATTCATTTTTAAGATTAAAACTCAATTTATAAGTTTATTATTATTTTAAGAAATGAAATAAAGAAATAAGAAAGAAAGATGTATTTATTATATAAAAATGATGTTTTTATTAAAGAAAAATAAAAAAAAATACAAGAAATAAAGAAAATATAGAAATAAATTATAATTTATTATTGACTTCACTCAAGACTATCTAACTATTTCTATTTGTTAAGTGATTAAATTCTGATTAATTATATGAGAAAAAATTAAAGCTCCTTATATATATTTTTAAAGACTTTTCTATAAATATAAATTAATTAATTTATTTATTACATGATAAAACGAATAAAATAAAAAGAAAAGAAAAAAAAATACTAAATAGTACCAAATCTTGAACAGGCGAAACTTCATGGCCACTGTGAAGGTGGTGACAGTTCATAGTTATTGCTACTCCTTTAATTTGGTGGTATCTTGTTAAAAAAGTAATCATATCTTTACAAATTTCAGTGCTTTCTTTGCAGTATCTGCAGTTTCTGCAGTACACAGTACAGAAGTCACATAATACATAATTGGTGTAGCTGAAATAAAATATGAATATAAATAAAAAAGAAAGAAATAAAGATCAAATTCTTAAAGAACAATAATAAGACAGAAAATTATGAAGAGATGTAAATGAAGGAGGTGATACAAGGTAAATAAATATAAGAAATAAGTAATAATAAGGAATAATAATTGTTGATAATTAAATTAAAAGAAAGATAAAAAAGAGGTGTGACAAGTAAGAGAGGGATTATTTGAATAAAATAAAAAGGTAACAAATAGGTGTAATGGTAAAAAAATGCACCAAATAAGAAGTGAAAAAATAAATAGTAATAATAGCTACCATTTGTTATTATTATTTTTTTCTTTTTCTTCTTATTCAGCTCATTTTTATATCCTCACTTATAACTATTATATCTTGTTACCTTTTATTTTTGCCTCTATAATCCTCCTTTTATTTGTTATCACTATCTTTATTATTTTTTTTTGCCTTTCTTTAGCTATGATTTTTGCACTTACCTCCATTTTATATCTATTTTACTTATGTTAATTTACTTATCTTAACCTTTGCTTTAATTTCAGCCCCTTTACTATACCCTTCCTCTCAAAACCACCCTTGTTATTATTATTTTTCTTTAGTTTCTTTGTCCTTATTCATAATTTTTTATTTACTACACCAGTTATATGTCACATAATTTTGAATATATTGTAAACTGTGTACACTGCAGATACTACAGATTGTATATGTTGCAGATACTATGGACAAATTACTAAAATGCATAGAATGAATCACTACACTAAGTGAAAGACCACTCTCCAAGATAAAACTATTGAATTCTATAAATGCCACCTCCTCTACTAAGACTACTCTAGTTTAGCAAGGCTGATTTATCTTTATTTTGTTATTATTTTTCTTTTTCTTTCTTTTTATTTCCATCAATATGTAATTAACTAATAAATTAATTTATATTATTAAAATAGTTTCTAAAATGTATATATAGAACTTTAATTTTTTTTTATCATATAATAATTATAACAACAATTCAAGAGTAATTCAATTCTTTTCTTCATTTTATGCAGTAATTATTATAAATATAAGTATTCATAATTGCATAGTCTCAAGTAAAATCATTAATTAATTAGATACTTTGTTTTCTTGTAAATATTTTTTTATTTACATAAAATTCTTTCTTATTATATTCTTCTATTTATTCTTATAGTATAAAATAATTATATCTTTTATTGTTTTGATTTCTTTTATTTCCAAGATTATCTAAATTATTGATATTGCATAATTCTAAGTCTTAAAAGTTTTAAAATAAGCTATACTTCTTTATTTTTTTGTTTATTTTATCATGTGACTTAATCAGAACTACACTTTCTTTACTTTTCTAACTATCCATTCATTTATTAAGTCTATATAAACCTTTCTTTAAACACTTTTAATTTGTTATTTACTTCCATTCCTTCCCAGTTGTTGTCATTTGATATATCTACTTCTTTTTTATCTTCTTTATTATTGTTCTGTTCTTTCTTAGTCTTTTGCACTTACCCAATTCTACTTTATTACTGTTCATACCCTGGGATCTTGTTTTATTTTGACCCTAGAGAATAAATTAATATTTTAATTAATATTATAAGTTCTTCCATACTTACAAAACCCTTGATAACTATTAGACTAAACTCAAGTACTTTATTGTACTAGTTATTACTTTTTCAACTAGATAGAATCAATTTGGTACTAGTTATATAGAATATACAAACCATTTATCCTTGTTTTTGATAGAATTAATCAAGATATGGTATATTACATTGTTGATCCTAATGGTCAAATTTTATTTATTATATTTTTATCTTATTTATTATATTATTATTTTAACATTATGTATTTATTAGTTTATTTATATTTTATTAGATTAATTTCATATTTTATTAGTATATATTTATAGGAAAATATTAATATAAATTATTTTGAAATTGGTACAACTATTAAGTATTATGACTTTAGATCTGAGCATAATCAACAGTGTAATATACAGCATAATCAATAGTGTATTCAATAATGTAATATACAGTGTAATAGATAGTGTAGTAGAGAGTGTAGTTAATAGTATATACATTAGCATAATTAATAGTGTATACATTAGTATAGTCTACAGTGTAATCTATTATAACTTCAATTATGTATATAAAGGACTGAATTTCTCTTTGCTCAGTCCTCAGTTAGTTCAGTTCAGATAGTGAATTAGTCAGTTAGAATTAGTTCGATAACTAATCCTCAGTTTTTTTGCTAATTCTATTAATAAAATACTTTGTGATTTACTTTATAATTTCTTAGTGAAATTCTGTATCATTCCTTAGTGAAATACTAAAACCCTTGTTGAATTATACTTTGCTTTGTGATCTTGGTATATAGTTTTTGTATTATAATTCTCTACTTAGTATTAGGAATTATCAGTTTAGTTTAGTTTATACTTTGTGAATAGTTTAGTTAAACCTTTATAAAAATCTCATAGCCTTGTCTCTTTTGAACAAATCTGTAATATCTAAATCCTTCAAATATCACACTTTTTGTAGTATAAATTAGTTAGTAGTAATATATTTTAGTTTAGCTACTGTACCTTTATCTAATAGTTAATAATATCTCTTGAAGATCAGATCATGATCAACAATTTGGTGGTGACTGTGAGATCCAGTTAAAATTACAATTTAGCCTTAGTTTTAATTTTAGTAAATTATTATTTTTCTTTTATATCCCACATATTTTATTTTAGTTTACATAGTCTATTTCTTATATATATTATATTTTAGTTTATTATATTTTAGTTATAATATTTCTTTTAGTTTTAATTTATGGTTTCAGCAAAAGCTCAAAACACTTGTGTTGAAAAAGTTATTGAATTAAAAGATCAAGCTGTTTCTGAAATAATTAATTGCAAACTAGTAAAACAGGAAAAGGATCCTAACTATGAAACTGTTTACACTCTTAAAGACTTAAATACCATTAAGACTCATCTTGAACAAATTGAACATCACATTTGAATCTGTGATAATATTTTAATTGATAATAAACACAGTTAGTTCAATATTCCAAAACAAAAAAAAATATAGTTGGAAAATTCTTAAGTAAAAATGAATAATACCAATTGACATCACCAAAGTTACTCACAACCAAATACAAATACCAATACACCTATCCATCTACTCAATCTACATCTGTTAGGAGACAACATTATCAACTTTATCAAAATAGTGAAATTACCCAACCTATTTTTCTTTAGGTGACTTATCACCTTGAACATCATCTTATTTACTACCATGAAGTGATATACTATGACCAGTATCACTAGTCGAACCAACTCAAACTAGATTACCTCCACACAGTAATTTATCTACAAGTTCAAACCAAAGTATCTTTGAATCTAATGACAAAAGTGACAAGAAAATTTATTAACCACTAGATGAAAGTTTTTAAACCAATAACAACTCAAGAAACCATGATAGGATTATTATATTAGGATCAACAAACAACACTGAATGCAATCCTTCAGCAACTAGTAACTCTTCTAATCCTGACATTGAAATAAATAATCAAAACATAAATTTACCTCGTGACTTTGAACAGGAAGTCTTTGAAAACTATCTTGACCAATTTAATCTTGACAGTAATAGTAATCATGATAGTGAACCCAAACTCAAACTTGAACCAGAACCTGAAATAATGGCTGCAATAATAAAACCTGCTAAATTCTCTGGTTCCAGTAAGGAATATCCACATGAATGATATAAGGACTTCCTAATGGCCGCTCAAGTGAATGGAGGGAATGCTGCTCACAAAAAGAAAACATTTGGAGCTTATCTTAGAAAAGGAGCTTGTGATTGGTACCTTGAGTGGATCCCAATAATGCACATAATTGGAACCAACTCTCAACTGCTTTTGCAGTCAAATATTTAAATAATGATTTATGTGAACAATGGATTGAGGAATTACGAGGTCTCAAACAATACAAAAGTGAATCTGTTGAGGATTACTACTATCAAGTAAAACGAATGGCTACCTGAGCTGACATTGATGTCAATGCTACTCTTCCCTATTTTATTTGAGAATTGCTACCTGTAGTAATTCAAAATATAAATTTATAAGATTAGGAGATTTAGGATTATGCAGATTAGCAAATGAAACTTCATCTGAAATATATGGTGTATTTCCATATATTGCACCTGAGGTATTTAATAAATATGTATCAGTACACACAAGCTTCAGATATTTTTAGTGTTGGAATGATTATGTGAATAATTTCAACAGGAAAAATACCATTTTCTAATAGAGCATATAATTCAGAATTAGCTTTTGATATTTTCAATGGACTTTGATCAAAAATTAATAAAGGCACACCTCAATGTTATATATAATTAATGGAAAAGTGTTGGCACAATGATCCATCTGAATGTCCAAGTGCTGAAATAATTTATGATAAATCAAATAAATGGAATAAAGATTTGTTGTATGATAAAAAAACAGATGATTCACTTATGTTTTTAAATGTAGAACAAAAAATAAAAGTTGAAGGTGATAATGAATATTTATCTTCTGTTGAAACTACTAATCCTGAAACAAATGTTATAAAAAAACCTTTGACTTATTGTTACAATCTTGATGAGTTATAATATATATTTAATTTTGTTTCTAATTTATCTTTTGAAATAATGCAATTAAAATTTTATACAAGTTACTGAAATTTTCTTAATTTATTAGTTATTTTCAAGTTATAAATTACATGTATTTCATTTTTGACTAGTTTATATTATTCTTGAGAATTATTATTTATATGAATTATAAGATTTTATTTTTTATGAAAATAAATAAACATTATTATAATATCATTTCTAAATTTATAATATTATGTTTTTACTACACTTTGTATTGCACACTATATTTCAAGATAATGCAACCTTTACTCCTTCATAAACAATTTCACAATGGAATATAAGTCATTTATGTACTAGAATCCGCATATAAAAGTCAGGTTACTTGATTTCCTAAATGTAAAAAATGTCAGTTGGCATTGCATTATTCAAATTATTTAATTGTATTAAAGAATATATTTAAAAATTCATGTCCACGTAAAAGTTAAATTTTATTGATAACAAGATAATAATAATATTCTTATTTTTCAAGAAACCCAAAACTAAAAAATTACCAATAACCACTAAAATATTCTTCCTCTTTTTTTTTTAATAAATTCAATAATAATTTTGATAATAATTATTAACCAAATACGAACACAGAGGATACACACTTAAAGTTTTTTTTTGAAAATTTTACATTTGGATTTAATGTAGAAAGTTTTATTGGCAGCAAAACAAATAGTATTAGAAAAGGAATTGATATTGAAAATAGTAAAGGACAAGATGATTTTGTAGAATTCAATCAAGTTTGCCTCCAGAAATGAATGATTTAGATAAAATAGATGATGAAACAATTGAATGTTGTGAAACAAAATATATGTTAAGGTGTTGTGGCAATTAATAGGAATGTGGCAAGTTGATAAGAGTGCTGCAAAAGAAGTAAACAAACAATTAGAAAACCTTGGTGTCTATTATTTAAATTTTATGTTTGATCATAACAAATTATAAAAAAAAAATCAAAACAAAAAATTTCAACTGAAATAGTATTCTCAACTATTGTTGTGTCGCTGTTTATTTTGTGAATTTTTATAGTTGAGATAATATTTGATTAGAACATTCAAAAGCGATTAACAATAGAGGAAGATCATATAAAAGACAGAAATGGTCGTGCGAAAGATGCTGATGAGTATTTGAAATGGCGAACTTTCTAGAACATGAATTGTTTATTGAATATAGAAGAACGACGTACAAGATTAACTACATGTTATAATGAAGGTGCGGTACGAATACAAAGTATTGTACGTCTTTTAAACAAAAAAGGGGTGAAGAGCTACTGATATAAATAAAGCTGATATAAATCGCAATAAAAAGTGATCACGAAAAAAAAAAAATATTGAATCTTCAACATTAACTCAAATAGCTCCAAATACTATTCATGAAACTCAAGAAATCAAATTAAACATACAACAAGATGAACCATTAAAAAAAAACGTAAAAAACAAATCATGATTTCGCATGATACTGTAAAATTAATTAAATCTTAATAGAACTTAATACAATTTCGCCTGATTGTGAACTAAGACTATCAATTATAATAGAAATATAAAAAAGTTTGTAAAAAAACTCCTTTATTTTCAAAAAAAAAAAAAAAATCATATTTTATTAAAATAATTTTATTGTTATTTTTAAAGTGAAGAATTATTTTGAGAGCTAGAGATCTAATAAATATTATAAAATGAAAAAGGATCATGAACTTGAATGTAAAAATATCGTCTATCTTTAAAAGAGGAATAATAAGATATAAAATAGCTATAAAGTGGTTAGATTTTTTTGAAATGTGAAATTCACTTATAATAAATGTTTTGGAAAGATATGTTTTAAATAACGATATTGAGATAAAGATTTGAATGTTTGTGTACCATCTTTGATAGATATAAAATCACCAATTACATCACGCGACAAATAGTTTCAATTAACTCGTTAAATCGATTATTAACTTTAAGAGAGTCTACTATTTTTTACCATAAACAAATATATCTATATCTAAATATAAATAAATATATATATCTAAAAAGAGGATATCAAGAAATGGATAAAGAAATCCTGGACTTTATAACTAAAAGAGATATTGTTAACCTCGCGTTATACCTTGACGAGATTGATTTGAAAGAGGTAACATTAATTTTTTATAGATTGATATGTTATGTTATTAGTATCATCATATCATTATCATTATTATTATCATTATTATTGATATTATTTGTATTGTTATTATTGTTATTATTATAATATATTAATAAAATAAATTTCTTTTTCTTTTAAAGTTGGCAAATTTTGTAAGAAAACAATTGGATAATGAAAAAAAATTTTATGATGAACAGAATGGCTGTTTCCCTATAATTTGTGCAATGTTTAAAGGTTTTTATTATTATTATTATTATTATTATTATTTTATTATTTAATTTTAATTTTTAATTTTTAAATTAATTTTTTTAATTTTTAATTTTTTATATTATATATCAAGGATCAATGGTTGATAATAATATAAATAATGAAAGACAAATTGAAATTGAAAAATTAAGAGATCAAAGACGTGTCGTGATAATGTTGGAAATTGTACGATGGTTGGTGTTAATACCTCATAACATTTATCTCATAACATTATCTCATAACAATATCTTATAATAATCATTTCTTATTATTATATCTTCTTATTATATTCTGTTAATATAACGAAAAGGTTAAGTGAAAAAGACAATGATACAACTTCAATATTTGATAAAGTTGTTTCAGACTTAGTGAGTCAATGTATCAATGAGGTAAATTTCTAATAATTTCTCAAATAAGTTTTCTCCTCTAATAATTTCTTCTAATACCGAATTTTAATATTTTCTTCTAATATTATAATTTCTAATATATATATATAATAATAATAATAATAATAATAATAATAATAAAGATAGGAATCTCATGTGATTCACCGATAGTAATCGAATCCTTTGTAGAAGCGATCAACATTATCATTCGTAGTTTACGACGAGTGAAACCCATTCATGGAAAATTATTTACATTTTTACCAGTATTTTTATCTACCTTTAATACATTATCTGAAGTGAATGAGAATTCAAATTCTTCGAATAATAATAATAATAATAATAATAGAAATGGGGATAGTAGTATAATGTCAATGTCGGGACCGGATTATAAAGATTATATATTAAATAAAATATGTTCTATCAAGTGGCATGAAAGTAATGTTTTAAGTTTGGCAGGGGAATTTAAAGATATTGTTATGAATGATGATCAGGTGAGTAAATTTCTTGAATTTAATTTTAATTCTGATCTTATAATTTTTAATTTTAAATTTTTTAAATTATTTTAATAATTAGTTAAAATTTGTTATTGAAAAAATTATGAGGTGAGTTGAATAAATTTCAAGGTTTCAATTACCATTCAATAAATAAATAAAATATTCAATATTAATAACATTTAATATATAAATATTAGACATTTTGATTCTATGGGTATAAATGGAATTCCACCTTTAATTTATCAAATGCTTTTACTCTCTAGAAAGGTATTTATTATTACATTAACATTAAATATTATATATTATTACTACTACTTATTACTATTCCTTTTTTTTTTCTATAGGGACAAAAAAATTTGATAATAAAAGGTATTTGCGAATATTTTAATAGTCTCGATGAAGAAGTTGAAGAAGACGAAGAGAATAGGTACCCGCACATATAAATATATGTATATTGATATTTTTAGATATTTCTAGATATTTAGATCTTTTTAGACGCGTTATTTTTTTTTTTTTCTCTCTTCTTTCTTTCTTATGAAAAAAGGAAAAATAAATTTATTTTTTTATATTTTTATATAATATTATTATGAAATTGTAGTTCATTAACGTTTTCACAACTTAATCACATGGAAGGAATTGTGATTATTCATATTTGTTTCGCGATCACTCAAGATCAAGTATAGTATTATTAGTTTCTTTTTTTTCTTACAAATTCTATTACGTACAGTGGACCCCTTCTATAGTCACCCCCTTGTACAATCACATCATATAAATCCCCACTTATAAACACACTTTTCATGAGGATCAATACTAAGTAATACTATATAAAAATTCCCTCTATATGGTTATAATCACACCTTTTATTTTTGGTTTTTATGGTCCCGAGGGGTATGCTTGTAGAGGGGGGTCCACTGTATATATCTTTAACTATCTATCTAATATAAGTTTAATACTTATTATTATTCTTCTTATTCAAGGAATTAGGACGGGAATTCTTGAAATATATGAAATCAGGAAAAAATTCGTTATTGACACCATTTAATGTGGCTTGTTTATTATCAATAGGAAGAATACTTCGGTTCAAAGATTTGGTAAATTTCTTTTTTGTTTTTTCGGAAAGATGTAAAAATGAAGAATTAATAATAATAATTATTATTATCATATTATTATATTATATAATTTGATTAGGTTCTGGAATTTCTTAAATCTTCTATAATTTCTGCTTTTAAAGATCAAGAAAAAATAGAAAAAGCGAAATGGATTTCCAGTAAGAAAAAAATGAATTTAAAATTTACAATTATTAGTATTATATGTGAATTATCGATATAACCATGTAAAAATATTAAATTATATATCAATTTATATTAAATTTTATTAGAAGTGGACAGTTCAAATAGATTAACTTATACTCCAATAATGGATTTATTTCAAAAAATTATTCGTAAGACTTCCTTTGGTTGGGATCAAGTGACTCAGAGTTTAGTTCAATTATGTATTTTGGTTATGGATACCACTGCTCCTTCGTCAAGTAATAAAAATACAGGTAAATTTAATATAAGATTTAAGAGTGTTATAAATAATATTTATAGTAGCATAAATGAAGTGATAGTGATAGGTAGTATAAGTGATATAATAATATTTTAATTAATAGATTTGTTTAAAGTAATAAACAAAACTCCCAAGAATGCCAATGAATTAACTTCAAATTTAGGGATAACTATTTTATTTGAAATGTTCAAAGTAAGTAATATTCTATACATTTATAAATTAAAATAAATAAATAAATAAATAATATTTTTTTTTTATTTTTTCCGATCACTTATCTATTTACCTATAATATATATAATATATATATAGATTCACGATATGGTTCGTGCAGAAATTCTGGATCAAATATTATCTCGAGTCATATCTAAAGCTGATAGTGTTGAACATTTCTTGATTTTACTTGAATTAATTGTTAAAGAAGCACCTCATTCTATAATCAATTATATTACAAGGGTGGGTAGTGATTATTATTTGATTAAATTTGATTTGATTTAACTTTGATTTGATTTTTAATTTAATTTATTATTATTATTATATATTTAGATTAAAGGAGCACTTGATTATTTTACATTTCTTCCTTCAAATACCGCTGATCGATTATTAAGAGCATTACAACCTATAATATATGCAAATAAATCATTCCGTGATGGACTCATGATCGTTTTGCGAAAGGGCATGTCCACAAAGTATTTATCATTATTTATATTATTTATATGAGATATTTATATTATTCATATTTAAAATATAATTATTTGATAAATGTAATTAATTAATTAATTAATTATTAATTAATTAGAGATGTTGAAGGAAGACAAACCGCATTGAAGGGATATCTTCGATTACTAAACATTCACACAAATAGTAATTGTAACATGTGGACAATATCTCAATTATCGGCAGGTTCCTCTCGGTCAATGCATAAACAAGATCAAAATTCACTTTCTTTTGAAATATTTCGTAAGTTTTCTTTTTTTTTCTTCGTCTTTAAGTTATTATTGCTATTATTATTAAAGTATACATGACAATATTATCATTCCTGAGAATTATTAAATGATTTAATGTTTTTGGTAATAAA